GAGTGTGGACTTCGACTACATGCAAATGCATATACCAACCACATCATCGGCTGATATGCTTCAACCTGTATCTATTTGCCAATGCAACTAACTGTCATTTTGGGGAAATTAGTAAGGACAGATATTTGGAAATGCTGAAGTCAAGTGAATGTCTTGACCAGAAACTTGATGTCAAGAGGTGATTTATCTGAAGTAACTCTCAATTAAACGAGATTCGTAAGTGGTGGGTTTCTTGGTGATGAATGGCAATGAACGCAGTTATTCAGTCGTAATTTTGTTTGCTTTCAATGAGAGATAAGAAAGATGTGGAACCCATGCAATACATATGCATGATAATATATTCAGGCATTGACAAATAGATCTGACATCTGTATAAAAGAAGAGAATCTTGCTTGTCCAAATGAAACAAACCCTGAGTGTTTCAAATTGCTGAGCTTATTTATAATTGCATCCATTCTATAGGTCATTTGAGACATGATATGATATGCTTGTAAACTATTCCTTAACGAATCCACTACGCTTCAGCGTTTCCGTGTTGTCAGTGACATTTTCACATATGTGCAAATCATCGAAAATTATCTATATGCGGTTGTAAAATAATATAAAATTCCTCACGTACGGTGATTAGAATTACCTCAGAAATTCTTTGTTAAGCTAGTGTACTTTTGATTCCGGTGACCTAGTGAATGAAATAAACAACATAAACAGGTATATGATTATAATTGCAATTATTATCAGGCCACATTCTTTCAGAAAAAATGAGGTGGTATTTTAAATTATTTTTAGAATTATTTATGGTCTTACACGTGGCAACTGTGATCAGAGAACAATTAGTCAACCAGCAGGAAAGTGAAAATCTAGACAATCCACAATACTATCCACATTTTGCGATAGGTACTGCTGGGTAGTGATTTTCCCTTAACCAACAACCATGCACGAATTAATGACAGCGTTTCAAGTGGCGTAGATGCTTGATCGCGTACTTTCGGTCTAATTGATACAAATAAACAGTGATGATGACAGCTGTAGTCTAATAGCCGCAGGAAATTATTTACCGCTAGAGTTCTAATTCTCTGTATACATTTAAAGCACTACATAACAAGTTTTATTGTCAAAAGGTGAATTTTGCAACTTGTAAAAATGTACAAACGTGTTCATTCGGTCCGTGGATAATATCAATATCACAAACAGTATCGCTTACAGAATGTGATATAACAAAACATGAGGTGATGAGGACGATATAGTCAGTGGTGTTTGAAAGTGATAATATGGAAGAAATAAAGAAAATGAATGAGGTAATGTGATACTTTAACAGAGATAAAGCAAAAGCAGTCAACTTATCAGTTTTGTGTGTCTACTGGGTGGTCTACATTTTAACGTAATGCAGATACTGGTATTTAGTAACTTAGTCTTTGCTAACAGCGTTCTTCGTGTTTCTTTCAACCTAATTCAACTGTAATGAAATTTAGGTCAGGGTATAGATTGGCAGCCATTCTATGTCTCAGAGTTAGTGTGCACTACGCCGTACTGTTACTAAACGCCTTTATAAGTAGATCGTAAGCCTAAGACGGACATCTCGAAAATTAGGTTTCGTGTTTTATTATTGTCCATTTACTACTGTAATTTACTTTCACTATGCAGTTGGACATAGGCGTCTTACTGTAGACTGACTGTACCTTAACTTCAATGACTTCGAAAAGGCCTTCGATATACGGCATTGACTGACAGGTAACTAGGAAACTACTTAACACTACAGCGTGCAGTGCTCAAGTCATTATCAGTCTCGTGCAACAACTGGTTATTTGACAGTGCCACCTGTCAAGTGATCCACAACCGGAAACTCAGTGAGGCGTTCGAAGTGAATACAAGAGTAAAACAAGGCTGTTCAGCGTCACCGATGATATTCTAAATTGTGATGGACTGGATTGTGCGTGAGGCTGTGAACAGGGAGTGAACAGAGAGAAGTACTCTTGACCATGGACAATAAGACTGTGTACGATCTGGATTTATCAGATGATGTATGTCTAATGTCACTAAAACTCGAAGACTTACAGACGAAAACCAGAAGACTGACAGAGGACAGGAGGCAGGAAGCAAAGACAGAACACCAGATGGACATGGAGAAGACGAAGGTGATGAAGATAACCAGCGAACAATGACAGCAACAACAGAAACCAGCATCGATCACCACCAACATGGGAACTTTGACAGAGGTTACTTCCTTCACTTATCTAGGAGGCACGGTTTCAATCACAGGCGCTCAGCATGGATGAAGATGTCAAAACCATCCAGATTCGAGAATGTGAAATGCTCCTTCACCGATCCTAAGCCAGTTGGGAACCCTTCCGCACTGATTCAGCACAAGGAACAAGATTCGGATTTTCAACACAAATGTCAAGTCAGTCAGCTCTTCTATACGGATCATAAACTTGCACTGTGTGTCACGAAGGGGATTTCCAACAAGTTACAGACTCTTGTCAGTAGCTGCTCCCTTCGCTGCTCTCGTAATGAATATCAAATGGCCAGAAAGAATTTTCAAAAAGGCAACGAAGGGCCGACTGCTGATCGAATATGCAGGAGAAGAGAGAGATTGTTCGAGCATACTTTGAGGAGGCCGTCAAACGACATCGCGCTACAGGCCGTTGGTCGAGTGGAATCCCAGTGGGAAGTGACGAGGGTGACATGGAAGTGATAATGTGAGGAGGAGATGAGAGATGACGGGGAATCGTGGGACAAGCTGATGAGGACGGCAGAAAGTAGGACACAGTGTACATGTACAGTTGAAGCCCTGAATTCCACTTGGAATCGTAGGTATTTATAATAATAATAATAACTTTAGACTGAATGGCTACCCAATGCCTGTTAATTTGCACACTTTAAATTCAAATCCACTACTAATACATGGTCACACAACACATAATCTCGTAATCCAGTAACAAAAGTAGAGCTTCGGGACGATAACAGTCGTCGAAACCACTGACCAGTTGGCGTAAATCCATATGCAGAATGGTGGCATGCTCAGTAAATGTGATGCAGTGGAATAAGGACTACCTTATATTTTATGAATTACGTACATTGTTCAAGACTGACCTGGAGTGACTTCAGAGTATAGAACATGAGCTCCAGCACTGGATATACAGAAAGCATTTGGGCATGGAAAAATACTAGAACTGGTAGGGTTTCATCTAGTTGTTTCTGTTGGAAAGGCAGTGACATAATGGAAAGAAATATCAGATAGCACTCGTCTGTACACGAGGCTCATCTTTTGATATCTGCAAGAGGAATACGAGCTGGATTTGTGCATTTATGGTCAATTTCTTTAGTTTGTGAAACAAGGCGTTTTAGGAGATGAAGGAATGTCAACGTTGTATACCCGGGTGAAACGAATCGAAACTAATCACTGCCTCTTGTGTAATGCTGGACGCTCATCCAGCACAACTTTCACTTCCTCACCTTCCTTAAGTAGACATATGAAGACTGACGTTTACACCTTGAAATCTAGCAGGAAACTTTGAACCATGTCGTAGTCAAGCCAACCACAGCATCCCAATTATTTGTGATCCCAAACATTTTGCCTGCATAGAGAAAAAGTTTTCCTTCTTCTTCTAGGCCGAAAAACTGCTTTGCCATCGTAATTATACCTTTATCAATAACCACTCAGCATCATATCTCAGTAATTATTCGACAAATCATAGCTAAGAAAGGTGTGAGCCTTTCAGATCTATTGTCATGAATAATCTTGCAGGGAGATCTAAACGATTTCAATGCCACCATTCTCTGTATGCACTGCATGGACAGTTGATATACTCCGTAGTCTAGTCTTTCAGTCAATGGAACCATCTTAGGGATGGTCATTTGTTGTTTATGTGTTATGTCTGAGAGATGAGTTTCTGACGAATAATTAATCTGAGTGTCTGAATTCTCAAAATGATTTCGTCGATTCATTTTTGTCACAAAAATCATTGTTATTCAGATGTGTTTGAGCTTGGTCAGACATTTTGAAGTAGCAGTGAATACCGACCGGTCTCTCATCAGCAAGTCGCCTTTATTCGCCAGACATGATGGATTCATTACCAGGCAGTAGCGAGACGATTATTCGACCGTTGAACCACAGAACCATGACGTATTTCACACGTTGTCGTGCACATTTAGAACATTCGTGCACTGAACATATATATGCAGCTGATGTAATGTAGCTAGCTGGACCTTGTTTACAAATGATGTTAGAGAATGACGACAACTGGTAAGTGAAATTGGTGGTTTACATGTGTTTCTGAGCTACTCATATTTGGCGTAAATATTTGCCCATCATTGAGGATCTGAGTGTGGACTTCGACTACATGCAAATGCATATACCAACCACATCATCGGCTGATATGCTTCAACCTGTATCTATTTGCCAATGCAACTAACTGTCTGTTTGGGGAAATTAGTAAGGACAGATATTTGGAAATGCTGAAGTCAAGTGAATGTCTTGACCAGAAACTTGATGTCAAGAGGTGATTTATCTGAAGTAACTCTCAATTAAACGAGATTCGTAAGTGGTGGGTTTCTTGGTGATGAATGGCAATGAACGCAGTCATTCAGTCGTAAGTTTGTTTGCTTTCAATGAGAGATAAGAAAGATGTGGAACCCATGCAATACATATGCATGATAATATATTCAGGCATTGACAAATAGATCTGACATCTGTATAAAAGAAGAGAATCTTGCTTGTCCAAATGAAACAAACCCTGAGTGTTTCAAATTGCTGAGCTTATTTATAATTGCATCCATTCTATAGGTCATTTGAGACATGATATGATATGCTTCTAAACTATTCCTTAACGAATCCACTACGCTTCAGCGTTTCCGTGTTGTCAGCGACATTTTCACATATGTGCAAATCATCGAAAATTATCTATATGACGTTCTAAAATTATGTAAAATTCCTCATGTATGGTGATTGGAATCACCTCAGATATTCTTTGTTAAGCTAGTGTACTTTTGATTCCGGTGACCTTGTGTGAATGAAATCAACAACATAAACAGATATATGATTCTAATTGTAATTATTATCAGGCCACATTCTTTCAGAATAAAATGAGGTGGTATTTCACATTATTTTTAGAATTATTTATGGTCTTACACGTGGCAAGTGTTAATTAAATCAGTGAAGAGACTATATAAAGTCTTGTTTTCATTTGCTCAACACGCTCGCTGATTTCATGATGATGATAATGTCGATGAAGAGATTCTTTGTGCTGTTGCTGTTTGTTCAAGCGTTTGCAGTATTCATCAAGCCAAGCGAAGCATGTAAGTAGAGTTTGATGTGGTTATTATTGTTTCAAGTAGAATTTAATATATTCAAAGCAGTTTTCTCTTATTGGTGTATCATATTTTAAATGTATTCATCCCTTCACTAAAACCGCAATGATATCAAAGTGAAACTGATTTACATAGTGGTTATATTGAGCGCTGTGTAATTTGATTTATTCTATGAAATTGGTTTAATATGACAACAGCAGACAATGTAGACAATAGGAATACCCAGATAGAAACAATTCAAGACAAACTTGTAATATTTCGTAGTGTGGAATATTCCCATATTATGAATTAAAAGTCAAAATTATAAAACGTGTCAGGTGAGTGGCTAGTACAAAGTGGTCTGTGTTAAACAGGAGATAGTAAGACTGCAATGAGAGGTTCATAATGAAATAACGAATATGTGAAATGAAACAGGTGGAGGCATATAATATATATATATACATAAATAATAATATTTTTATTCGTCATAATTTCTGCCCTTCACGCAAACATTCTACTATCCGGACTTATTATTAGTGATATTATCTCTTTTCTCAAGATATGCCTCCACCATTTTTTTCTTTTCACATATTCTATATTTCATTATGAACCTTTCATTGCAGTCTTACTATCTCCTGTTTAACACAGACCACTTTGTACTAGCCACTCACCTGACACGTTTTATAACCTTGAACTGACTTGTCAATTTTCCTACCCCACACTCTACAAATCTATTATGATTAATCACCACCATTGTCTCCCGTTTTACAATATTTTGTAATCGATTTCAGCCAACTGGCACGTTTGTCACACACAAATGCGACTATTTATTTTGATACCCCATAACTAATCTGTTATTCTACGTTAAGGAAAAATGTATCCGCCGCATAACTGGCCTTTATTGTAATGACAACAAATATTATATTTTACAATTGTAAGAACCTAAAGTAGAGAAATTATTGAAAAGAATATTCTTCGTTCAGAGTGACTTTTAGTTTATAATATTTCACTGAATAATCAAAACCTCATGAACAGAAATATATATATATATTTATGTGCACTGACGAGGGACTGATTTAAAACTTTTTACGTTAGTCAATGTATTGTCGAGTTAAAAATTGGTATATTTTATTGTCATAGCCACTTAAATTGTGAAGAGGAGAGGGAAGTGCAACTGAAATTGTCTAATATCACTGCCTTGACACTAATATCTAACACATTAAATAGGTGCAGATATTTTTGAGTTCAAAAATAACACCGTTCACAATGGTAGGAGTTTAGTCCTACTAACATTTGCTTTAGTGTGCAATAAAAGAGAACACCTCTTCACATTAATATGAGAATGCAAGGCATAATAATGCAGATTTGTGGTGGCTTTCTGCTCTGAAAATGATACCTGGCTGATAAAGATTATACTTAAGAGTATAACCTGTCCGCTAATCGCAGTTTGCAGATTAATGGCCACTACAATCAATAGTAGTCTTAACAAAAATTCAAAAAACTGCATAAATGAAGACAGTCAGCGTGAATTTTGTGCACATTTCTCGACATATACATAAATAATTTCGTCATATTAAAAATAAGTCAATTTATGTGCATTCATCCGAATGAATGTAGTCTCAATGTCTGCTCGGCACATGCTGAGTAAATTCAAACTATACCTTCCTAAATAGTAAGGGTAGGCGTAAATCTCTGTGACCACAACGGAACACCTGATCTCCCAGTCGATTGTAATGCAGGCGATTATTGGAAGTGAGTTCCATGGAGACCAGAATTGAAATGGACCAAACACATAGTGTGAGCAGACACCAGTGTTGCACTGCACAGTGAGCATACTGTCAGACATGGTATTATTCACTACTGGATTTTAGTGGTCTTCTCAAATCCAGATGTCAATCGTGCATATTTTCTTACCTATTTGAATATACATATTTCTCCCTCAGGGTGGTACTTTGATGACAACTACGGAATTGGTGAGTCAAACAAAGTGATATCTGTCGTCATCTTGATGTTGTGTTGTGAATACTGCATGTTGAAGTGTTACAGTGAATTGTTTGAAGAGAGTATTTTCTAGTTTATCACGTCATTGGTGTGACAACTGATGAGATGTCTGTTTTACTACTTTCTGACAAGCTGCCACTCACCATCACCACAAAAGCAGTAAAAATTGAAAAAGAAACAACAATGGGAAGACTTTTCGAATACTAACTGACACTGATAATATTACACTCAGACAATGGAGAACCACTTTGTGTCATATTTCACGCTCCATTTGAAGTGTATCCTGATTCGTGCAGTTAGGCTGAGCTTGATGGCGCCATACGAGTGAATTGTGTGGAGGACATACGGTCCAGTTGGAATAATGCACAAGATGAGATAACTGTTTCAGTTCTCTTCTTTCACAGCTGATAGTCACCATCTACACAAAAGTGTAGACAGAGTCTGAGTGACTGTCACTGCTTTTTACGTATTCCAACACCAATGTCAACGCGTCTCCATTGACGTGCCCATCTTCACCGAAATACCGTTGTTACATGTGTCGTATATTCTCTGTTTATCATTCCGTATTTCCACATTTGTTGATTTCGTCAACTCCTCGGTGAAGGAGTAGCAGGGGAAGCTTCTCCATGTATATGTGGCCACTTAGGAGACGAAAGAGATTTCCTGACTTTGTTGTCTAGTTCTCAGAGGCTTCATATCTTCCTGACTATCTAACTGCACCAACCTCTTCAAAATGTGTAGCTACGAATGTCGTTATGTGCACAGCAATTCCACAGAGATTGCCACACATTCTGAGTTGACTCAAACTGTGCTTGTGTGAAATGTATTAGAGAAGCGTTACTAGCTGTGGCTATAACGGAACACCTGATCTTTAAGTAGATTGTAATGCAGGCGATTTGTCGAAGTCAATATGATGAAGGGCAGAAATCGAAATCACGAACCAGTATGGCAGTGCGCAGTCAGCATACTGTCAGATATGGCTGTAAACACTAATGAAGTTTTGTGATATTGTCAAAACTGATCCTCAATGACTGTAATCAAAATTGGATTATCCGTTTTTCGTCCACACTTTCCCGTGCATGTTTTTATAAGACTATCACGCTAATTACAAAACGATGCATTCTTCAAATAGACTCTGAGGGTGATACTGGTTGATGAACAGAGTGTTTGAATTCAGCATTCATAAATGAAATTCAATACTTGTACAGAACCAATATGCAAAGGCACAACAAATAACGAAAATGTTGTGGAATGACACAGACTAGTATTGTGAAGAAGTGACACTTGCTGTGTGTTTGCGTCGTCACAGAAAAATTATCAAATAATGAGTTCCTCGTAAAGTTGGAAATAGAGTAATCTTTCGAATAATCTGTTAAAATATAACTGACTTCAATTTAATTTCATTGATTTAGTGGACCAGCGTGCACACGGAGATTATCGTAAGTTATATATATTCCACATTGTTTTGCATTAAAATAGCTGAAAATCTGCTGTCGACAATGTTATCTAACAAAAAGCATCACTAGGATGTGACACTGTAGTGCCTGCCACATACTGTGTGATCATGGGTCCGAATAATCATTCTTATCAACAAAATTATTGTGGATAACAACCGACAAACTGCTGGTGAAAGTATGAGTAAACAAGTATCACCATGCAATTGCAAATATACGGCTGATAAAATGAAAATAAGCATGATGAACTTTTGTGCACATTTTTCAACATATATATAAATAATTTCATCATATTAAAAATAAGTCAATTTATATGCTTTCATCCCAATGAATTAAGTCTCAATGTCCGCTCGGCACATGCTGAGTAAATTCAAACTGTGCCTTTCTAAATAGTAAGGGTAGACGTAACTCTCTGTGACCACAACGGAACACCTGATCTCCCAGTCGATTGTAATGCAGGCGATTTGTGGAAGTGAGTTCGGTGGAGACCAGAATTGAAATGAAGCAACCGCATAGTGTGAGCAGACACCAGTGTTGCACTGCACAGTCAGCATACTGTCAGAAATCGTTGTATTCACTACTGGATTTTCGTGGTGTTCTCAATGTCAGATGTCATGTATTTCATATCTATCTTTTTCGTATTTTCTTTCCTTCTTTCGTTTAGTTTATGTTGATGACGGTGAAGAACGTTTTGGTGAGTGCAGTCGTTTGATATCGTTTTTGTACTGGTGATTTTTTGATTGTGAATTTTTGTTCAATCCAGTCAATTTGCTTTCATCTTTCCAATTTAAACTGAGATGCAATTTTGTTTGTGTATTTATTTATTGAAGACCCAATACAGCTTCCACTTGTTACCTCTCACTGGTGATTACACTTCTATAGCATCGTTAGGAAATTCAGTAACATGGCATAGACCGGTGTTATTTTAGCAGGTTATCTGTTGCAATAAATCCCATTTTCATGTGCCTTATTCCACATGCATATCTTCTTTCAGTTGTACACGGCCCATAGGCGTTACTTCAATTGATCTTCGCGTTGTGACATAAAAGATAACAATGTCAGATGGAGTATACACTCTTATGTCCCATTACGTAACAAACTTATAAAAACGTTTCAAATTTCACTTAAACCATGTAGTTGTAGTTTCTGTAATCTCAAATGTTTGGTATATTTTCAAAGTTAACGAATAAATAACAATATTTTCAACCCTTCCTCATTATTTCATTTTCGTGCACTTGTCTTTCTATGACTGAAGGCGATCTGCTGATAGACAGTTTCAGTGTGTCGAGTTTCTAAGTGTGAATCTTCGTGTTGACTTCGCGATCGTGATACAAACTCTCGACTAGATAAAGTAATTTTGAAGCTAAACGGTGCAGATTCAACTGCACATGAAAAATATTTACATCAGTATTTGTTGAGGGCGCTTTTAGATCCCAGATATCGCTTTGCGTACGCATATAACTCGCCTCATGCTGTCGATGGCGAATTTCGGTAATTTATTTGGATAAGAAGCCAATCTTGTGTTCGAATTTGCACGGACTTTACGTACTCACTTCGGCCAACGTTAACGAGAAATTATCAATCGGAAAGAGATTAGCTTGTTACTTGAAATTATCTGCTAAGCAGCAAAATTCATAAGCAAACACAAGAAAGACACTAAAGATTTTCAATCGAATCATCGAAAATCTCCACAATGATATCACTAACGACGCCAGAAGGGTTCTCATCTTGTTGTATCAAGAGAACTGTTTGGAGTGCGGTTGAGTAAAACAATGCTATGTAGGACGAAAATAATAATTGGCACCCTCTATTCGCGAACTCATCTATCATACAATTAAAGACACGATGCAGTGAAACAAAAATGCTTTGATGACACAGAAAATCAACAATGTTCAGTTACTTGGATTTCTCTGAACAACTGTTCACGTGACAATTTCTTTACTGCACGTCACTTTCTACTGTCGTCGGCAAATCCGTTTCGAGATATGAATAATAATGATAATAATTTGCTTTATTCCAAAACAGTACGTTTGATACAGAATAGAATTCTCATTCTCATTCACAGTCTGTTGTCTCAAAATGACTTGACTATATATGTGTTACAATATTACGGAGAGTCAAGATACACTGACGAGAAACTGTTTCAACCAACGTGACATGAACAAATTGATGGATGCTGACATGAATAAATGGAAACAATAAATAAAATTGAACTAGGCAGATGCAAGAGAAATATGCATCAGATTGGGGAATTTCAAATATCTTCAATATGAGGATACAGATAAGGTGTGAAATAACATTCAGCACATGCTGAGTAAATTCAAACTGTGCCTTTCTAAATAGTTCGGGTAGGCGTAACTCTCTGTGACCACAACGGAGCACCTGATCTCCCAGTCGATTGTAATGCAGGCGATTATTGGAAGTGAGTTCGGTGGAGACCAGAATTGAAATGGACCGAACACATAGTGTGAGCAGACACAAGTGTTGCACTGCACAGTCAGCATACTGACACACATGGTATTATTCACTACTGGATTTTAGTGGTCTTCTCAAATCTAGATATCAAGTCATGCACATTTTCTTACCTATTTGAATATGTCTTTGTTTTCTCTCCTAGTGGTGAATAATGATGGAAACAACAAACATGGTGAGTCAAAGAAAGTGATATCTGTCGTCATCTTGATGTTGTGTTGTGAATGCTGCATGTTGAAGTGTTACAGTGAATTGTTTGAAGAGAGTATTTTCTAGTTTATCACGTCATTGGTGTGACAACTGATGAGATGTCTGTTTTACTACTTTCTGACAAGCTGCCACTCACCATCACCACAAAAGCAGTGAAATTTGAAAAAAAAACAACAATGGGAAGACTTTTCGAATACTGACTGACACTGATAATATTACACTTAGACAATGGAGAACCACTTTGTGTCACATTTCACGCTCCATTTGAAGTGTATCCTGATTCGTGCAGTTAGGCTGAGCTTGATGGCGCCATACGAGTGAATTGTGTGGAGGACATACGGTCCAGTTGGAATAATGCACAAGATGAGATAACTGTTTCAGTTCTCTTCCTTCACAGCTGATAGTCACCATCTACACAAAAGTGTAGACAGAGTCTGAGTGACTGTCACTGCTTTTTACGTATTCCAACACCAATGTCAACGCGTCTCCATTGACGTGCCCATCTTCACCGAAATACCGTTGTTACATGTGTCGTATATTCTCTGTTTATCATTCCGTATTTCCACATTTGTTGATTTCGTCAACTCCTCGGTGAAGGAGTAGCAGGGGAAGCTTCTCCATGTATATGTGGCCACTTAGGAGACGAAAGAGATTTCCTGACTTTGTTGTCTAGTTCTCAGAGGCTTCATATCTTCCTGACTATCTAACTGCACCAACCTCTTCAAAATGTGTAGCCACGAATGTCGTTATGTGCACAGCAATTCCACAGAGATTGCCACACATTCTGAGTAGATTCAAACTGTGCTTGTGTGAAATGTATTAGAGAAGCGTTACTAGCTGTGGCTATAACGGAATACCTGATCTCCCAGTCGATTGTAATGCAGGCTTTTTTTGAAGTCAGTTCGGTGGAGACCAGAATTGAAATGGACCAACCGCATAGTGTGAGCAGACACAAGTGTTGCACTGCACAGTCAGCATACTGTCAGAAATCGTTGTATTCACTACTGGATTTTCGTGGTGTTCTCAATGTCAGATGTCATGTATTTCATATCTATCTTTTTTCGTATTTTCTTTCCTTCTTTCGTTTAGTTTATGTTGATGACGGTGAAGAACGTTTTGGTGAGTGCAGTCGTTTGATATCGTTTTTGTACTGGTGATTTTTTGATTGTGAATTTTTGTTCAATCCAGTCAATTTGCTTTCATCTTTCCAATTTAAACTGAGATGCAATTTTGTTTGTGTATTTATTTATTGAAGACCCAATACAGCTTCCACTTGTTACCTCTCACTGGTGATTACACTTCTATAGCATCGTTAGGAAATTCAGTAACATGGCATAGACCGGTGTTATTTTAGCAGGTTATCTGTTGCAATAAATCCCATTTTCATGTGCCTTATTCCACATGCATATCTTCTTTCAGTTGTACACGGCCCATAGGCGTTACTTCAATTGATCTTCGCGTTGTGACATAAAAGATAACAATGTCAGATGGAGTATACACTCTTATGTCCCATTACGTAACAAACTTATAAAAACGTTTCAAATTTCACTTAAACCATGTAGTTGTAGTTTCTGTAATCTCAAATGTTTGGTATATTTTCAAAGTTAACGAATAAATAACAATATTTTCAACCCTTCCTCATTATTTCATTTTCGTGCACTTGTCTTTCTATGACTGAAGGCGATCTGCTGATAGACAGTTTCAGTGTGTCGAGTTTCTAAGTGTGAATCTTCGTGTCGACTTCGCGATCGTGATACAAACTCTCGACTAGATAAAGTAATTTTGAAGCTGAACGGTGCAGATTCAACTGCACATGAAAAATATTTACATCAGTATTTGTTGAGGGCGCTTTTAGATCCCAGATATCGCTTTGCGTACGCATATAACTCGCCTCATGCTGTCGATGGCGAATTTAGGCTTTTGCTGGGATTCCATCTGGTCCTGCCGCTTTTCCAGCTTGTAGCATCTTGATTGCTTTCGGGATTGCCTTCTGATTTCGTCGAGGGGTTGGTGTTCACTGGTAGCTGTGTCTCCGTTGTTGGTATTGCTGGGCACGTTGAAGGTGGCGGTCGGTTTAGTAGTCTCTTGAAGTGTTCAGCCCAGTGTTTCCTTTGCTCCACTTCTTTGGTGAGTGACTTTCCATTGTTATCCTTCGCCGGCTTGATTTGTGTCAAACGTTTGCCCGATAGGTACCTAGTAGTTTGGTAGAGTGTTGCGAGGTCTCCTTTGCCTGCAGCTTGTTCTGCCTCACTTGCCATGGTTTCATAGTACTTTCTTTTGTCTTCTCTGGCACTCTTCTTTACTCTTTTGTTCAGTGTTTTGTAGCTGGCGTTCAAATCCTGTTTTTGTTGCTCATCGGTGCACTGGAGAATCTTTTGTTTCACCATCCCTCTCTCTTCTATTAGTTTCCAAGTGTCCGTAGTGAGCCATTGTTTGTCCTGTCTCTTCTTTCTGCCTAGAACTTCCATGCAGGTTTGAATCCACACTGTCTTCGAGTTGTTCCAGCGCTTTTCGACGCTGACCTCTTCGCCAGTGTTGATTTGTGTCTCGGCTTTGTCTTTTATACTTGCAGTGAAGATGTCCTTTGTGTCCTGGTCCTTCAGTTTTTGATTGTTGAACTTTGCTTGTGGTCTATCTGCAGCTCCTGTTTCTCTGAAAGCTTTTAATTTGATTTGGATTGTCCCTTGTACGAGATAGTGGTCTGAGCCAATGTCTGCTCCTCTTCTTACTTTTGTGTCCAGCAGGCTGCGCCTCCACTTCCTTGAGATTGAGATGAATTCGACTTGGTTTTCGGTTCGCCCATCTGGTGACACCCATGTAGCTTTGTGGATATCCTTGTGTTTATATACGCTGCCACCAATCACTAGTTCATTGAAGGCACAGAAGTCGGCGAAGAGTTCTCCGTTTTCATTCATTTGCCCGAGAGCTTCTCTACCCATGATGAGTTCCCTTCCTGTGTTGTCTGGTCCCAGTTTGGCGTTCATGTCTCCCATTAGTATTTTAATGTCACCAGCTGAAGTATTGTCCATTTTAGTCTGCAGTTGTCTGTAGAATTCTTCTTTCGTTTCGAGGTATGCGTTGTTGGTCGGTGCATAGCATTGTATAATTGACACTTTCCTTCCTTTGGAGTTGAATCTGGCGGTTATTATCCTGGGCGAGATCGCCTCCCATTGCATCAGGGCCTTCGTTGCCGTTGGTGACATCATGATAGCCACGCCCTCGGTGTGCGAGTGGTTATCTTCTGGGTGACCGGAGTAGATCACTGACTCTCCCTTTGACGATTTGGTGAGTCCATTCCCGTTCCATCTACTTTCACATATTCCCAGCACTTGAATTTTGTATCTTTCCATTTCCTTTGCGATCTGGGCAGCTTTGCCAATCTCGTACATAGTACGGACATTCCATGTCCCCACACAGACTTTTTCTTTTGTCTCAAGGAGATACATCGTGCTGAAGTTTCTGTAGCAGGTTTGTTTACAGGGTGGCGTTGCTAGCCTCATGCCTGAGAAGGGGGGTTGTTACATCAATTTATAATTTAGAGAGAAGCGACCTTGTGGGTTGCTCCCCTTAAAAACCAGGAAAACAGGGAATGAACAAGCAGAAAAACACCAGCACGGGAAAATAATTCACAACAAGAAGGGTAACAAGCGACAACGACAACAATAATATCACAGTCAATTTCAGTTAACCAAAATGATACCAAAACCATAGACACACTAACTTGAGCCAGTCAATACGATGAAGACCAGAAATCAAAATCACGAACCAGTATGGCAGTGCGCAGTCAGCATACTGTCAGACATGGCTGTAAACACTACTGAAGTTTTGTGATATTGTCAAAACTGATCCTCAATGACTGTAATCAAAATTGGATTATCCGTTTTTCGTCCACACTTTCCCGTGCATGTTTTATAAGACTATCACGCTAATTACAAAACGATGCATTCTTCAAATAGACTCTGAGGGTGATACTGGTTGATGAACAGAGTGTTTGAATTCAGCATTCATAAATGAAATTCAATACTTGTACAGAACCAATATGCAAAGGCACAACAAATAACGAAAATGTTGTGGAATGACACAGACTAGTATTGTGAAGAAGTGACACTTGCTGTGTGTTTGCGTCGTCACAGAAAAATTATCAAATAATGAGTTCCTCGTAAAGTTGGAAATAGAGTAATCTTTCGAATAATCTGTTAAAATATAACTGACTTCAATTTAATTTCATTGATTTAGTGGACCAGCCCGCACACGGAGATTTGCGTAAGTGATATACATTCCACATTGCTTTGCATTAAAATAGCTGCAAATCTGCTGTCGACAATGTTATCTAACAAAAAGCATCACTAGGATGTGATACTGTAGTGCCTGCCACATACTGTGTGATCATGGGTCCGAATAATCATTCTTATCAACAAAATTATTGCGGATAACAACCGACAAACTGCTGGTGAAAGTATGAGTACACAATTATCAGCATGCAATTGCAAATATACAGCTGATAAAATGAAAATACGCATGATGAACTTTTGTGCACACTCATCGACATATACATGAATAAATTTATCATGTGGAAAATAAGTCAATATATGCTTTCATCCCAATGAATGTAGTCTTAATGTCCGCTCGGCACATGCTGAATTAATTCAAACTGTGCCTTTCTAAATAGTTCGGGTAGGCGTAACTCTCTGTGACCACAACGGAACACCTGATCTCCCAGTCGATTGTAATGCAGGCGATTTGCGGAAGTAAGTTCGGTGGAGACCAGAATTCAAATGAACCAACCGCGTAGTGTGAGCGGACACCAGTGTTGCACTGCACAGTCAGCGTACTGTCAAACATGGTTGTATTCAGTACTGGATTTTCGTGGTGTTCTCAATGTCAATGTAAGCTCTTTCCAGAGCTTAGGTCCAGATCATGTACCTACTATTATTTTCAAATAATTTTCTGATATTCTGTGTTACCCTCTTACTGATCTGTTTAACAAATCTTTTTCCAGTATTATTGTGCCTGCTGTTTGGAAAGACATTAAAGTTGTACTCTTACCTTAATCGTCTACTGGAGCATGTGTCAAATTTAGACCCATTGCTATTACCTCTACCTTTTTAAAAACTATGGTGAAACTACTTTTACTTAGTCTTGTACCCTCTCTTAAATCCTTTAATGACCCAAAACAGTTTGTTTATAAGCACAGTAGAAGCACTTTAGATGCAGCTGCCGTATTATACCATAACATTGCTTCCAGTCTAAACAAGGGGGCTAAATTTGTTCGTTGTGCCTTCCTAGACTATACATCTGCTTTTGACTCGGTCCCTAGAGACATCTTATTAAATAAACTTGCTGCAAGTCAAACAGAATGTTGGGCTGTTAATTGGTTACATTCCTATTTCTCAGAAAGAAAGCAGTACACCGTGTATAAAGGGAAGTCTTCCACTTCATTGCCTACTGAAGCTGGTGTCCCTCAAGGCGCTGTCCTTTCTCCTTTTCTTTTTTCTTTCTTCTTACATGACTCGCCTCAGTCTGATGAAATAAATTTTGTGAAGTACGCTGATGATTTAACTGTTTCAATGGCTGTTAACTCCCAGCTGGATTGTACCAAAATAAATAGCTTTCTGTCAGGAGTCAGTAAACGGTCTTAAACTGAATCCTTCTAAACGTCAAACTGTTAATTTCAGCTTAAGATGTAAACGACAGTTAAAAGAAGCCGTCGATTCTCATGACAGTTGTAAGATTGATGACAATGATATAGGAATTAAATCAGAAATTAAGTATCTTGGACTTATTTTCTCTTCTGATCTCTCCTGGTCTTCCCATGTCTCAACGATCTCCAGTAAAATATTCCGCCTGACATTTTACATTAAGAAGTTATGGCACTCGGGTATAAATCAACCCCTTCTCTTACAGTTCATAAACTCTTGCATCCTACTTATTCTTTTTTATTGTTCCCTCTTATTCTTTCCTGGTTTGCTTAAAAAGGACTTTGTCACAATTCATAGAATGCTGAAGGATGAGTGGTGTCCCAGCGGACTACATTGTTAACGTCGTTGTCGACAGGCACTTGACTTCGTGGAGTAAATTTGCTAAAGGGATTTTGTCTGACTTGGAGCATCCACTTCACCCTCAGCTTTCACCTTGCACCTCCTCAGGTAGAACAAGAAGTAACTTCATAAAACTGTATGCTCGCACGTCTAAGTATAAAAATTCTATGATACCATACTTGGCACGTATTTTATGTGATGAAAACAGCGTCAGGCGAGAATCGACTAACCTTTTTCATCTAGTAAATAAACAATCTCCTCCATCCATCTTTATATACCTTCAAGTTTTACTTTCATTATTTCTATTATATTTATGGTCCTGTTGATTCGTTGTTTTCACTTTCATAACTGCGAGCACCAACTTATCTCTATGACTGCTGTAATTTTTGTTTTTTCCCTCACCATATCATATAAAGCGAACATTATATTTAATATTTTTAAGCATGCAAGGATTTGTATACCGCATCGGCAATACTGTGTGAAACAAGCCCACGGCAATTTTCACTTGTATTATTATCATTACCTTAGTTGCTATCATTACTATTATTTCCATTTAAATGCTGCATGTTTTCTATTTTCCTTTATATTAACCGTATTGTAAATGTAGAAAAATTTTCTGTGTGATTAATTTTATTTATAATTTGAGGAAATTAGATGCAATATTGTGATTAATGCTGAAAATTCCATTCTGTATCACAAGTACTGTTTTTGGAATAAAGTAAATCATTATTATTATTTCATATCTATCTTTTTTCGTATTTTCCTTCTTTTAGTTCATGTTGACGACGATGAGGAACCTTTCGGTGAGTGCAGTCGTTTGATATCGTTTTTGTACTGGTGATGTTTTGATTGTGAATTTTTGTTCAATCCAGTCAATTTGCTTTCATCTTTCCAATTTAAACTGAGATGCAATTTCGTTTGTGTATTTATTTATTGAAGAACCAATACAGCTTCCACTTGTTACCTCTCACTGGTGATTACACTTCTATAGCATCGTTAGGAAATTCAGTAACATGGCATAGACCGGTGTTATTTTAGCAGGTTATCTGTTGCAATAAATCCCATTTTCATATGCCTTATTCCACATGCATATCTTCTTTCAGTTGTACACGGCCCATAGGCGTTACTTCAATTGATCTTCGCGTTGTGACATAAAAGATAACAATGTCAAATGGAGTATATACCCTTGTGTCCCAATACGTAACAAACTTATAAAAACGTTTCAAATTTCACTTAAACCATGTAGTTGTAGTTTCTGTAATCTCAAATGTTTGGTATATTTTCAAAGTTAACGAATAAATAACAATATTTTCAACCCTTCCTCATTATTTCATTTTCGTGCACTTGTCTTTCTATGACTGAAGGCGATCTGCTGATAGACAGTTTCAGTGTGTTGAGTTTCTAAGTGTGAATCTTCGTGTCGACTTCGCGATCGTGATACAAACTCTCGACTAGATAAATTAATTTTGAAGCTGAACGGTGCAGATTCAACTGCACATGAAAAATATTTACATCAGTATTTGTTGAGGGCGCTTTTAGATTCCAGATATCGCTTTGTGTACGCACATAACTCGCCTCATGCTGTCGATGGCGAATTTCGGTAATTTATTTGGATAAGAAGCCAATCTTGTGTTCGAATTTGCACGGACTTTACGTACTCACTTCGGCCAACGTTAACGAGAAATTATCAATCGGAAAGAGATTAGCTTGTTACTTGAAATTATCTGCTAAGCAGCAAAATTCATAAGCAAACACAAGAAAGACACTAATGATTTTCAATCGAATCATCGAAAATCTCCACAATGATATCACTAACGACGCCAGAAGGGTTCTCATCTTGTTGTATCAAGAGAACTGTTTGGAGTGCGGTTGAGTACAACAATGCTATGTAGGACGAAAATAATAATTGGCACCCTCTATTCGCGAACTCATCTATCATACAATTAAAGACACGATGCAGTGAAACAAAAATGCTTTGATGACACAGAAAATCAACAATGTTCAGTTACTTGGATTTCTCTGAACAACTGTTCACGTGACAATTTCTTTACTGCACGTCACTTTCTACTGTCGTCGGCAAATCCGTTTCGAGATATGAATAATAATGATAATAAGTTGCTTTATTTCAATGCAGTATATGTGATACGGAATGCAATTTGCAGCGTTTTTGCTACAGTATTGCATCCAATTAATACATAAACCGTTAGTGGTATTCTACATAGATTAAGGAAATCTCAGTTCATTATTACAACAACACATTGGCATGTCAGTAGCAAAGGTAAAGCTGAAACAGTGTTTGAAGATGTTAGGAAAGTGTGAGCTGTCATATTTTCTAGCGTGAGTGAGTGAAGGAAACAAAGCAGCACATAACAGAAAAAAAGAGAGAGAAAAGGAAAAGAAAAAGAAAATGTTGCACCTATAAATGATTTGAGTTGGAAAGACGAGATCCATTTGTATTACTGACTATTTAATGAATTATAGGTGTCACGCCTAATGCTTTCTTTACCACACAGAACACGAGCTAAGTAGAGTATGGTTGAGTTTTTGTACTTGCTGGTGCGAGCATATAGTTTTCTATATAGGCTTCTGGTTTTGCCTGATGAGATGCAAGTGGGGAGGAGTTGTGAGTGAAGAGGGTGGTGTGAGTCAGATAAAATGGATTTAGCTCATTTTTCACATGAGTCCATGTGCCTGTCAACCAGAACATTAACAAGCTGGTTAAGTGGTACGTTGCTTACCCTGCTGACAACCTTTAACATCCTGCGTAATGTGTTATAGTCTTGCTTCACTAGCCCGGGAAAAACTAGGGGGGAACAATAGAGAATAATAGGCAAAATGCGAGAGTTAACGAATTGTAGGAGTAAGGGTTGGGTTATACCAGAATGTTTTAACTTCTTGATGTAGAAGGTAAGACGGAATATTTTCCTGGAAATTGCTAGGATATGAGACGACCAGGAGAGATCAGCAGATAGAATGACACCTTAGTATTTGATTTCCGACTTGGTTTCTATTTCAGTGCCATCTATGTTGCTTACCTCGTGAGAGCCAACCAGTTTGTTTATGCCTGAAGGTGAAATTGACTGTTTGGCATTTGGAGGGGCTTAAGGTAAGACCGTTTACCTTGGACCACTGGCTGATGTTTGACAGGAAGCCATTTAATTTAGAGCAGTTACTTTGATATTTGACAGGCAAAGATACTGTCAGGTCGTCAGCATATTTGACAAAACTAATGTCATTTGAAGATGGTAAGTCATGTAGAAAGAAAGAAAAGAGAAGTGGGGAGAGTACAGCACCTTGGGGGACACCAGCTTCAGTGAGCACAGCAGAGGAGGATTAACCTTGGTATATGGTGTACTGCATTCTGTTAGAGAAGTAGGAATGCAGCCAGTTAGTGACCCAGGGCTCAGTTTTTGTCGCAGAGAGCTTATTTAGCAAGAAACATCTAGGTACAGAGTCGAAAGCAGAAGTGAAGTCGAGAAACGTGCAGCGGACGTATTTGGCACCTTTATCTAATGATGAGACGATGTTGTTGTGTAAGACGGCTGTAGAGTCTAAAGTGCTCCTACCCTGTCTATAGACATATGGTTTGGGGTCTTCAAAGCTTTTAAGGGAGGGTTCAAGTTTAAGAAGTACTAGTTTTTCCATAAGCTTTAGAAACGGGGAAGTGATGGCAATGGTTCTGAACTTTACGTTCTTGCCGTTTCCAGGTTTAGGGACAGGGACTATTTTAATGTCTTTCCATGCAGTAGGTACGACACTTGTGAAGAAAGAAGTATTTAGGATGTTAGTTAATGGAGAACATAAAGCATCTGCACATTGTTTTAGAACATATGCAGGTATACCATCAGGGCCAAGGCCACGTGAGGGCTTGAGCGTTTTAAGACATTTAAGAACATCGAGAGCAATAAAGTCATGAAAGTTTTAAGCTACAGGATTGATAACATTAGAAGTACTTAAAGTAGAAGGACAGCGTATAAAAGACTGATTAAGAGCGCTAACATCATAAGAGGGAAAAGCATTACAGCGCTTACTATTGCCAGTAATTTCATTAAAAAGTTTCCACATGCTGATAGGAGATTTGCAAGAGAAAAGTGTATCGTTGTAGATAGCATTAAGATTTTTGATTTCAGATTTGATTTGAGCATTAATCTTTTTGAGTCCTAACTTATCTTTGGATTTATATAATGTTTCTTTTTGCCTGCGAAGTTGTTTGAGACAAGGAGACGAGAAGCGGTCGAGGCGTTTGAATAGTGTTTGTTTGGGATAGCATATATCAAGGCAGAACTTAAGATAATCCGTTATATTGACAATTGTGTCATCTAATGTACTTTCATGGAATAAATCCCAGTTAGCATTTTTTAACATGCACCTTAGATTGAGTAAGTTGTCAGATGAGTGGCATCTTTGCTGTGCTTTCATAGACAAGTGTGAGAGGACTTTAATTTTGGTAAAACACGAACAATACAGTGATCAGAGTTAAGGATCGGTGCACGTTTACGTGTTTCATATACTCCTTTGTCATTAGTAAAAACTAAATCGAGTGTTTTGTCAAGTCGAGTGGGAAATTTGACTATGTTAGTATGACCAAGTGCTTCAAGGAAGGAGCAATCTGAGGAGTTAAAATCACCAGTAATAACAGATAGAGAGTTGTCGAAGTTGGCAGCGGCAAACATGGTGAATTCATCAGCAAAATTTGAAAGATTAGATATTGGGCAACTTGGAGAAATGTACATGTTTGTAATAAAGATATGTTTCTATTTGGGGAGATGTTTGGGACGACATTTGACGGTAATACAGTCTATGAAGTCATTTGAGAATGAGAAGCAAACGTTATTAGAAATAGACCATTTGAAGTGAATGAAAGTTGCAACGCCGTCCCCATTTTTCCTTTTACAACATTGTCGGTCTTGTCTAAATAGGATGAAGTCCTTTAGTGAGATGAGGTTGCCATCATACAGTTCATGTAACCACGTTTCTTGCAAGGTGATTATGGCGGTATTATGATAAGTGTCAGTGGACATCATTATCTTGTTAGGTAGAGAGCGGCAGTTAGTGTTTGTTATGACAGGGACCGTAGTTAGGTGTACTGGTTAACGTTTAAGAGCTCTCTGCCAACCACTACGATGCTTCCTCCTTGATTTCTTGGGAATCTGAAAGTCTGAGTAGATTGAAAATCCCCATTGAGTCATATGAAAAAGAGAAGACATTCAGCGAAGAGACTCTTTTCGGCGAATTCATTCACATAGCTGTACAATCGCATTTATATATAAATATTTGTGTGTGTGTGTACATGAGGTTTGTCAAGTTTAGATAATTGATTAGTTAATACAAGAATGATGTAGTATAGAGACAAAGTTAATCAGACAGCAACTAAAGTAAGATTGAGTTAATAAGCTAGATGACGTAATATAATTGGCTAAAATGTTACAACTTAGGTCAGGATAGCAACAGAGGTAATTACAGGTAGAGATTAAGTAGAAATGAAATTGAGTGAATAAGTTGGATGACGTAACATGAATGACTAGAAACTGAGCGTTGTTCAAGTCAGTAACAGTGGTAGTGAGGTGTAGAAATTGAATCGGGTGGGGGTAGAGAACAAGAAAGTTGAAAATGTAAAATGTTACAATTGAGAAGACAAAATAATACTAATGAAGAGACAGAAGAAAAGATTAGGTAGAATTTACATGTCGGCTAATAAGATAGATTACGTCCATTGCAAGTGTAGTGATTGAACGAACTTCTTCTGTATGCAGAGTTCAGGATTTAGCAAGTGAATCGCCATTGCTTCTGCAGTTTGAAGAAGTCTGATTCGTACACCTTTAGGGAGACTACTTCTTACTCTGTAGACGACTTTGAAGTTTGTTTGCGGTGTAGCTTGGTGTCCGGATTCTATCAGATGTTCTAAGATGGAACTGCGGGGGCATCGATTTTCTCCTTTGTAAAACCATGTTGGTAAGTGCTCGGTGATACGTTTGGAAAGCGAGCGCTGGGTACGGCCGACATACCTGGCTCCACACGAGCAGGTGAATTGATAAATGCACATTGATGAGGCCAGCAGCGGTAGCTTATCCTTCACGTTCACATGAATCATAGGTTTTGTGGAGAAGGTTAGTCGTAGTTCAGCTGCGAAGAAGGTCTTCTTAAGTGAGCGCGACAGTCGATTTTTTAGTGTTTCCGCAGATAAATCTCCATTGAATTGAAGGTTCATGTAGAGTAGTTTTTCTTGACGCTAAGTATGGGCGGCTTTTCTGGTCTAGGATTCATAGATTTTGCAATAAATCTTTCTGGATAGCAATTCTCGACGAGGATTCTCTTGAGGTTGTCCAGTTCATCTTCTATGGTGTCCGGGGTGCAAATTCTGCGAACTCTGTAGCTGAGTGAACGGATCAGGTTTCGTTTGGTGTATAGTGGTACCCAACTGTGAAAGTTAGTAAGCTGTCCGTTCCACGTCGATTTTCTGTGGATAGATCTTTTCAGTGTTCCATCCTGTTCTCTTCTTGTTAGTTGGACGTCAAGAAAAGATATTGTGGAGTTGGACTCTTTCTCCATCGTGAACTGAATTGCAGGGTGGCAGTTGTTAAACGACTTCAAGATGTCGTCCAGATTTTCTTCGTTG